TACAGAAAACTATTAGCAGTTGCTTCTTTTATAATTTTTCTGTTTCCATTTTGCCCCTCCAGCTGGTAATACTTTCTTTAAGAAGGGACCAAGTCCTGCTTTCCTTATTTACTTTTCTGTTAAATCCTGCATGAAGAAACCCAGTGATTATTTCTCAGTTCCCTGCAATACAGAAATATTTTATCTATCTTTGCTTAATTTAGTATTTCACACATTGTAAACATCAGGAGTCAGACCTCAAAAATCTTAAAACTGACTAAAGAGCCAGGAGATTTTTAAAAAAACAATGCATTCTAGATTATTTATTAGGGCTGTCAACTAATCGCAGTTAACACACGATTAACTCAAAAATTAATCGTGATTAATCGCACTGTTAAACAATAGAATACCAATTGGAATTTATTAAATATTTTTGGATGTTTTTCTATATTTTCAAATATATTAATTTCTATTACAACACAGAATACAAAGTGTACAGTGCTCACGTAATATTACTATTTTGATTACAAATATTTCCACTGTAAAAATGATTAAAGAAATAGAATTTTCCAGTTCACCTTATACAAGTACTGTAGTACTTTATCGTGAAAGTGTAACTTACAAATGTAGATTTTTTTTTGTCACATAACTGCACTCTAAAACAAAACAATGTAAAACTTTAGAGCCTACAAACCCCTCAATCCTACTTCTTGTTCAGCCAATTGCTAAGACAAACAAGTTTGTTTACATTTACGGGAGATAATGCTGCCTGCTTCTTATTCACAATGTCACCAGAAAGTGAGAACAGGCATTTGCATGGCACTTTTGTAGCCGGCATTGCAAAGTATTTACCTGCCAGATATGCTAAACCTTAGTATGCCCCTTCCTACTTTCACCACCATTCCAGAGGACATGCTTCCACGCTGATGATGCTCATTAAAAAAAAATGCGTTAATTAAATTTGTGACTGAACCCCTTGGGGGAGAATTGTATGTCTCCTGATCTGTTTTACCCTCATTCTGCCATATATTTCATGTTATAGCAGTCTCAAATGATGACCCAGCACGTTTGTTTTAAGAATACTTTCACAGCACATTTGTACAAAACGCAAAGAAGGTACCAATGA